CAACAGATGTGGGGTGTGTGTTTATGACAGGCAACAGATGTGGGGTGTGTGTTTAGGACAGGCAACAGATGTGGGGTGTGTGTTTGGGACAGGCAACAGGTGTGTGGTGTGTGTTTAGGACAGGCAACAGATGTGGGGTGTGTGTTTGGGACAGGCAACAGGTGTGTGGTGTGTGTTTAGGACAGGCAACAGATGTGGGGTGTGTGTTTAGGACAGGTAACAGGTGTGTGGCGTGTTAATGACAGGCAACAGATGTGGGGTGTGTTTAGGACAGGCAGCAGGTGTGTGGCGTGTTTATGACAGGCAACCGATGTGGGGTGTGTGTTTAGGACAGGCAACAGATGTGGGGTGTGTGTTTATGACAGGCAACAGATGTGGGGTGTGTGTTTAGGACAGGCAACAGATGTGGGGTGTGTGTTTATGACAGGCAACAGATGTGGGGTGTGTGTTTAGGACAGGCAGCAGGTGTGTGGCATGTTTATGACAGGCAACCGATGTGGGGTGTGTGTTTAGGACAGGCAACAGATGTGGGGTGTGTTTTTAGGACAGGTAACAGGTGTGGGTGTGTGTTCAGAGAAGGTAACAGGTGTGTTTTTTCTCCACAGGTGACCTTGGGGAAGGTGTTGAAAGCCATTGTTGTAATGCGTTCTCTTTTCATTGATAGAACCATTGTTCGAGGTTTTAATGAGAATGTTTACACCGAGGATGGAAAGGTGACATTTAGCACCTGTTGACAGGTAACCACTCATATTTGACAGAGCATTTAATAACAACCTGTTGTCTGTCTTCACCAGTTGGATATTTGGACCAAGTCTCAGTATCATGTCTTCCAAAAGGTACAATTGGCTTCATTATTATTACTAAGCTAGATTTGATGTACAGGACTGTGATTGGTTGTTTTGTTACCAGGTAACAGACCATGCTACCACAGCCCTGCTGCACTACCAGCTGCCCCAGATGCCTGACGTAGTGGTTCGCTCTTTTATGGTAACACAGAAGTCTAGAACTAATCTACTATATAACATCATTCCTGGATTATCCCTGCGTCACCTGTCTCACCTGTCTCACCTGTCCCCCTGTCCCCCTGCAGACATGGCTGCGCAGCTACATTAAACTCTTCCAGTCTTCCTGTCAGCGCTGCGGCCATTTCCTGCAGGATGGTCTTCCTCCAACATGGAGAGACTTCAGGACCCTGGAGGCGTTTCATGACACCTGTCGGATGTAAATCACAACTTCCTGTTTTTGTAAAGTCTTCAAATAAAGTTTAAAGTCTTGTATTTGTTCTCATTTGTTTCTCCAGAGAACAGAACACAAACATTTTCAGTTTCAACAACATTTGTACAGTTTTACCTGTTAAAACTCTGTCCTCTTGTTTTTAATAAATGTATTTATTAAAGTGGTCTGACTGTCTCAGGTCTCAGGTCTCAGACTGACTCAGGTCTACATGTATTTAACAKAGAACAGCTCCCTCTGCTGGTTTCCTGACAACATTGCGTTGTCTGTCAGCCCAAACTAAGGAAAAATAAAACTGCTCTTTAAAAAAAATAATAACAGAATTTTACAGCTGCTGATCCCCAAAAGCCCATCAACGGTTCTGTTTAAATTTGTTTAGGTATTTCTTTTTAAATATTTGAAAGCATCATGACTGCAGTTTGCTCTCATGACCCTTAAAATATGTCATTTTAGACATAGTGCTCCCACGTGGGGAGAGGGCTTTGACTAGTTTACCTACATTGTTCAGTACTGATCAGTATTTTTACYTCTTCTTGGACACATTAGAGATATTGTGCTGCACTTTGGTTTTAAAAGGGACTGCTCCATGATGCAGAACCTGTATCTAACAGTTGTAAAGGTGATGAAGGTTCATCAGGCAAACTGTTCAGTTTGTGAATCAAAGCTCTGCTGCCTCCAGCTCTTCCTTACAGGGAAAACTGGAGGGTTGTCCAGTGTCTTCGGTCTTTAAGGAGCTGCAGGACCTCAGAAAGGTTGTCCAGTGTCTGAGGTCTTTAAGGAGCTGCAGGACCTCAGACAGGTTGTCCAGTGTCTTCGGTCTTTAAGGAGCTGCAGGACCTCAGACGGGTTGTCCAGTGTCTGAGGTCTTTAAGGAGCTTCACGACCTCAGACGGGTTGTCCAGAGACTGAGGTGTTTAAGGAGCTGCAGGACCTCAGACGGGTTGTCCAGTGTCTGAGGTCTTTAAGG